GCGCGCCGCCACTCACGATCACCGTTCGTTAGCAGATCAGGGAACTGTGAAGATAGAACTAGAAAACTATGAAAGCGGGAAAAACTCAAATCTACGATGAACCTAAAATCTATGATTTCTCAAAAATTAATGCCAAAATCCAAGAAGGGGGGGGGAGGAGATAAAAGGGACCGAATCGAAGGTCGTGCCGTTACACATCATGTCATGCTGCGCTGTGTTATCGACTGGGTGTCAGATGAAAAATCACTTTTATGGGTTTAAAGACTCCCTGTCTGCCTGGAATGGTGCCATTCCATCTCAACCTTTCTTTAGTCGAGTATTTGGTCTTACGCTGAACACAGCAACAACTAAGCCTATCCCAGGGAATGAAAATCTCATGTCAATTAGCACAGATGTTGTTGTTGATCCAAAAATTACCTGTCACCAAGCTTCTGAAGTTGGTATGACGCAAATGAGAACGCTAACTAGAGGGTACTTCTGAAGGATCAAATTTAAAAGAAGCAACCGTGATTTACCTACTTCTGCCACAACTCCAGCATTCAATTGAACGCGATACCCATTAATTCTACACTATTTTTTCAAAGGATTTCTTTCCTTAAAAAATCAGACAAACAATTACAGGATGATTTTCGATTCGAATTGACTCCTTATCCATCGGCTCTTTTAGACGAATCTAGAATGCAGAAAACTACTAATTCAGTGATTTATGATCTTTTTTAACCTGTAAAACTGCAGTTACATTGAAAGATTCTGTTTGTGTGATTGATAGAAGATTTTTGAATCACAAAATTGTTTGGCATTGGCAAGAAACATACTCCCAAATACTTGACAAACATGTGGAGTGTGTTACAGCAAAAGTACAACTTGTATATACTTTTTAGAAAGGTGATGAAATTTTGAAGGCAAATACAAAACTGGTTTTCCATTAAATTTTGCAGGATGTAACTGAATAGCGTATTTAAGGGAATTACGCTGAAAAATGATTTCTCCAGAAATTTCAGAATTTCAACGATTCTCGGCTTTTTGACAGTTGGAAACTGAGAATACGATTGAACGATGGTAATAAACGTTTACAGCATAAAATTTTCCAAAAAATCTCATATCTGAAATTGATATTTTGAATTTTTTAAAGAGGGTTAAATATGGCGTTAAAGTTGTCTATCGGAATACCGGGCTGATCGGTTTAGAACCACTTTTGTATTGTAGGTATACCCAAAACTTTCAAGTTCAGTAATTTTTGTTCGAAGTAATTTTGTCGGTACCAGTGTAATAGTACATGAAAGTTAAAAAAATGTTGATGAATAAATTCTTGAAGGTATTTAAGTGTACTTAAAAGCCAATTTAACATACAGTGGATATTGGATATAACATCGATTATGACGACAAATCAGGCATAACGACGTAAACTGGTCGGCCCTGGCTGAAATCCCATTCATTCAATGTATTTATGTATCGGTTATAATGACATTGCATATAACGACATATCGGTCATAGCAACGGAGTTTTCGCGTCCCAACAGATGTGGTGATCGGTTAAAACGACCTGAGCGAGGTGCAGTGAGATTTCGTTAGAATGTTTTGAGGTGAATAAAGTTTCAAAAACACACTGGGGCATTGTAGAATTCTTCTTAAATTTTCAAAGAAGTATAATTCTTGGCAAATTTCTATTTACTTTCAATATTTTCAGTACAGAAAGATATTTTTAGTTATTGCGTTTCATTTTCTTCCGTCGTCAGATGCTAAGAGTCTTCAGTCTGGGCATCTTCGACTTCAATGGCTTATGCCTCAACTCCCTAGCTATAGACAAACGAAGGGGGAGTCCAGGGGGGCCTGGCCCCCTTAGAATTGAAAATAGTATCATATGCTCCTCGAAAAAAATAAAAATTTTCCAGATGTTTTGAATGCAACAATTCGCAAGTATTTTGTGCTGAAAGTAGAAAGTGGGCACTCGAACCATCCCCCCCGTGATTGGGGCCCGGGCCTAAAAACTGGTACCAGGGCCCGAGATGGGATGTAGCGGGCCTGGGTACGTGTGTAACCATTTCACTATCGGTTATAACGACTATCGGCTATAACGACCAAAAAAGGCTGGTCCCCTCAAGGTCGTAATATTCAATATCCACTGTACGTCAAAAATTTAAAATTTTTTCAATAACAAGGCATTGTCTCACGTTTTTGTGACTGCCGACAATTTTTTTTTTTTCAAACCATGATAATCATCCAAAAGCTGGTACGAGGAGGGGTTGTGGCTGGAGACAATTTTTTTTTTTCAAACCATGGTAATGATCCAAAAGCTGGTAAAAGGAGGAGTTGCGTTTTGAGCCGAAATCGGCCCCTCTACGGAATCGGGAATTTTTTGGATATTTGACGGTTGACAATGCAGATTTAACAGAAATAATCGAGTTATTTTTGAAGGTGCAAAAAAGTAAAGTTTAGCACCGTAGTTTTATCATACATACTCCGACTTTTGAGATCGTAACCCTCTTCCTCCCATTTACTCACTAAGGCGAGCTGGGGGGGG